CTCAATTTACATAAAAAAAATGACACAATGATAACAAATATTACAGGTCTCAAGTTTAAAATAAGAAACATTTATTGAACAGTAAAAAATACTAAAACAAGATGGAAAGTTGAGGTAGAACAGGTAGAATATTATTATTATTATTATTATTATTATTATACATTCAAATAAAACAAAGAGTTCAGTGCTCTTAAATCTTCCAGTAATGTCTTTATAAAATAAACAAATATTTAAACTGAAGCATAAATAAAACAACAACTACTGTACACAGTAGGATTCAACAGCTTTGTTGAACTTAACCACATACTTTCAAATGAAAAAAAGTGCCAGGGAAAAATAAATCTGCAAACCCACGCGCATATCGGCTGATGCCGATACAAGTAAAAAACTCAAATATCGGCCCGATATATCGGCCGGCCGATGTATCGGTCTATCCTTAATCTGTATCCAGTACCTGGAAGCTTAAACCATCCTAGTTCTTGCAATTCCTGCATACTTACCAGACGTGACCCTTTGAGCATGTTGGGTATGCTTTGGATTGGCGACAATGTGTTCCAGTTCTCTCCAGTATCCAGCAACTTTTCACAGCCATTGAAGAGGAGTGTGCCAACATTCAACAGGCAAAAATCAGCAACCTGATCAACTCTGTGCAAAAGAGATTTGTCACAATATTGAGTGATTCTTTTGGGTATGTGACAACAAATGCATTTGTGTCGTCCTAGTCATGTGAAAACCAAACAAATGTCTTTTTGTCAAGATGAAAATGCTCATTTTAGAGTGCCTTTCATTGTGACCATCCCAAGGCACATCATGCTGTTTAATCAGCATCACATCTGTCAGGTGGATGGAGTATTTTGGCAAAGGTGCAAAGGCCCACTAAAACAGATTTTAGCAGTTTAGTGCGTAAAACTTGAAAGAAATAAGCCTTTTGTGTGCATAGAAAAACCAAGGAGAATTAATTTGCTATCATAAAAGACACGGAAGAGCACCAAATTCTCACATTTGCAATTCTGAACCCATCAAATGGTTGGCAATTTAGCTGAAAAATGACTTCAATAACTTATCAAAATGGCTGACGGTTATTCTTCTGTCGATTAACTACTAAACAACTAATTGTTGCAGCCCTTAATATAGTTTTTTGATAATTTGATAAACAGCAATTGAGACAGATAACGGTAAAATGTATGCTATCAGCATATCTTTATCGCATTCATCGTAGCTTTTCAGCAATTTCAGTTTATATTTCTTTCCAGCTTTATTACGAAAGATCACTAAGTGATTACAATCAGATGCAACTGTTCAGTCAGTTTTTTACACCTTCATAGAGGTGTTTATTTAGTTATATGTTTTAGCATTGATGCAGTACTTAGTGGAAGTGTTGTGCTGCATTGTATTCAGAGGTGTTTCTGATATTCTGCCCCCCTCATGTATGTAAATGGGAAGGGCAGGAAATTAGACCTCATTATAATGTGTTCCAGTTCAAGACCACCACTATGGCACCAGTGAGACATGCATAATTGAATTTACACATTTCCAACAATGTCTCCAAAAAAGCAATGTTATAAACTTTGTTAAGGTAGTATTGAAGTGAATTAGATTGTACAGATGTACCTAATGTAGTGGCCACTTTTAGGCCTCATAGCTTTTCTTCCATTTTCTTCTAGTGTTAGCTTGTTTTGTTGCTTTGTCGTTCACCAAACTCAGTCTGTCTTTGTCTAACCTCTCCCGTTGTGCAGCTCTAATCTAACAAAAAGTGGTGAGGAATGTTAAAATGTAAATTTAAACTAACTTCTTATCTAGATTAAAGCCCAACTCACTAAAACTGAGCTGAACTGAGTAACTGGCTTTTCACTTTTTTAAACCTGCACCTGCATTACATTAGATGTGTATTTTTTTGGCCTTTTATTTTATTAGTTATGAGCGTCTCGTTAAAACTGTATGAACCTGGCTTATAAATGAGTTGGTATCATTAAGCAGCTGTCTGGTTCGTGTAGTAAAATACAGTAGATGGGAGACATTTTCTCTTTTCAACAACAGTGTTTTTTCCTTCAGTGGTGTTAAAAAGCATAACAAGGTCCCAGAGATATCCCGTGAATATAAACACAGCTTGTTGGCTCGATTCTGCTCGCACTTTTAGTCCATAGACAGTGTGGATAGAATTACACAGGTGTACACAGTTGCTGTACACCTTATGCCACTGGTGAAACCAGACACTGCGACAAGACTAATGGAAAGGGAAATTGAAATACCAAAAATGGAAATGCTGTTTCAGCTTTAAAATGGGAAATGCACAAAAAAATGAATGCAAATAAGAAATACTCAGCATTGAAAATTGAAAAGGAAAGCTTCTTTAACTGGAAGGGTACTCGGAGAGGGCAGACCTCGGCCAAGGACAATAGTCCAGTCTTCTATAATGTGCATATTTTCATGCACAACCACTGTATAACTCAGGATATGTTTCTAAAACTTTGTAATTATGTTAAAATATTGTCTGTGCCTAGCTGAAGCATGTGCATTAATTATGTACCTCTAAATTGGAAATATTTCACATACTCGCATACAACCAGAAAGCACTTAACTATTGTGTACATATGTACAAAAATCTAATGTTTAGACTGAAATAACATCATAATAAATGGCAGCTTATGGAAAAACTGTATTTTTACAAGGAAGAAATGTTTACTGAAGTCAAATTTAAATTGCAGTTTATTGGAGTTTATTGCAAACCGTTCACATTTGGATGTGACTAAGAGTATAATTAGTTACATCATATCTGTGTATTAAGTTAGTTTGAGAAAAAAGCCTTGGTACAATTGCGACAGTGTTATCATTGTACTGGTTCCCCATGAAACTGCTGTCCCTGAGTGCTCCACTGCTTTTTGCATGAAGTTTGAGCAACTACATATATATGCTGCCCCAGAGGAATACTGGTACCTGCAAATGTGGATTGCGATACGGAGTTATCATATTTCTACAACTGGCCAGAAATTGTCACTAATGAACTGTACTACCATTTTCCTGAATTTTGAAATTTGCGACACCGATTCCAAAAAAGTTGGGACAATGTGTGAAATGTGTGTAAATTTAAAAATTAACGCAATGATTTTCAAATCCCCTTCAAACTCATACTCAATGGAATAGAGAACAAAAACAATTTTGATATAATTTTAAAACTGATAAACTTAGTTTTTTTTTTTCATAAAGGTCACTCATTGTGAATTTGATACCTGCAACTTGTTGTTGTACAGCATCCAAACTTTTGTGGTATTGGGGTTGTATGCCATTTTGTTATGGAAATGCATCTCAGTCCCTGTGATCTTAATCGGACCTGTAAATGTGTCAAAGAATCTCTAAATGCGTACAGAGTTACGCTGATGTGTTAATGTGTAGGAATCTATGTGCGTACTCAGGATCCGTGTGTGCATTATCGCATTTGTAAATGGGTAAAATTAGAAATAAAAATAAAGAAAATCCTCAAAATCTGTGTTCAGATTTTCAAGTGCACTGAGATTTGTAAATGTGTTGACAAATCTATTTGCGTACATAGATACAGAATCACAGGACTTGTCTGTATTTCCAGTTCTTGGAGCAAAACACTACTATGTGTGTACACATACAGATTTGTCTACGCATTAACAGAACGCATTTGCAGAGTTACCTACACGTTTACACGTCTCCGTACACTGGCAAATCATAATGCAGATTTGGAGGTTTTCTGTACGCATTTATAAATCTGATTACGCCCATGTGGATTCTAAATACACATTTGTATATTCCTGTGCACACCTACAAACCTCAGTATGCATTTAGAGATTCTGTTACACATTGACAAATTTGATTACATATGCAATTACAAATTTGCAAATAGTACTGATACTGTAATGACCCCATGCCCTAATCTTTCCTGTAGGGAAACCAGGAGATCAATAAGGTGTTTGTTTGATTGCAAGATACAACAATTAAATTAATTCCCATTAAGTATGCTGTGGATTTTTACGACACAAAGAATTTACTATTGTGTGTAAAATCTGAAAACCCATGCGGAAGCTCGTTCCTTATAAAGGTTCTAAGGTATTAGGAAATCGAAAACATACTCGACTTGCACAACCTTCCCGCCAAGTGTTGCGCATACTGTATGATAGAGCTGACAGTAATTTTTATTCTTCTCCAGATGAAGGTATGCAATTTTAACCATAAACCCTGAAATATTTTTGTGTCAGAATTATCATGGGTCTGTTTGCTGAGGCCTCTGGCCGTGTGTCATATCCGAAGAAAGGTGTATTCGGCTATGAAAGGGCTTGTTGTTGCTGAATTGGTGCGCTATTATTAGATGACCAATTTCCCCTCTTTCCATAATATCAGACATCCTGGCATAACTCTGTTTTGCATGGTTGCATTTTGAGCACATTCTCTTGACAAGGCCTTTTATAGCCTTGTGCTGAAGTGGCAAGTTGTGTAATTTGGATATTTTTAAAATGAGAGCATTTGGGTGCTACAAAGTTGTGGAATTCATGCAATCAAAGGCCACTTATGAACAGTTAAGCCTCTCTGTTCTAACAATAAAATTTTGTCTTTTTTTTTTTTCCCTGTCCTCAAAAATTACACTGTCACACAGATATATTACAGGTGGTGGCTCCTGTGCATTTTGATCTAGCATCTCTTGACTGTATTTAGAAAAAGAAGAGTGGTTGACTCTGATTTTGTTTTAGACTTTCAATAGTTGTCAGAAGCAGGCTACTGCTTGTTATGTGCGGCTTGTTCTTAGGTACCTAGGTGGGGTACAGATCAAAGCTGATATCTAGACAGCCCTTTTTTTCTTGAATATTGGTAGTGTAGCCATGGTAGTTTTAAAATAACACATCTGTTTGACCTGGTAGTGCTAATATTTTGCACAGATGTTATATTTTGGGTTAGAACTCATGCCCAAATCAAGATGGTAAATTGTTACTGGACTGTCAAATAATGTCTTTGTCTTCTCTGTTGTTTTTCCCCTGGTACAGAAGCACGGGCTCAGAGGAGGTGGAGTCATGAGCGCACAAGAGGCACCCAATCCTGGGAAGGAGCAGGCAGACGGCGGGAGTGCGGCCACAGATGGCCCCTCACCAACCTTAGCCCCAAAGACCAAGAGCACATCTCCACCACCTGTTACAGTGAAGAAGGAGCCCGGGACCTCAGAGACGAGTAACGGGAAAGTGGGTGATGCCAACCCCGCTGAGATCTGTGTTGTCATTGGAGGAGCTGACGGCGGAGCAAGCGGAGGTGGATCCCGTAGAGCTCAGACCGAGGGTATGTTTGCCCTTGGTACTCCTCCTCCAACGAAGAGCACAGACTCATGCATAGGTGTGTGAATATACATATGGATGTACTCGTGCATTTCCTGACTGCAGTGTTGTCTGGTGTCTCTTGACCACCGTGACCTTGCTCTCTGTCTGACAAAACAACACAACAGTATTTAAAAATTACATTTTTAAACATTCAAAAATTGAAATCACCTCAATTTTATGTATTTATTTTTGGATTAACGTCTGAAATCTTAAAGAGAGATACCTCAGAACTTGAGTGAATAAAACCAAGACCATCTGCTTGCCTAGAGATTGAACCATTTAGGGTAAGGTAGTATGAGCTTTGTTCCTATCTGAGTCTGCTATCTAGTTATTTACAAACTCGAAGCTCTCATGTGATGCTGGTGGTGATTATTATTTATAGTATTAGACAACCCACTTGGCGGATTCCTTGTTGAAATCACTTGCACAGATAAACAGATGTACTGTGTACATTTTTAGTTGCCAATTTACCAGGTACACCTTGCCCAAACTAATCTATTACAACAGGCCAGCGATAATCCCACTTTCATGAAGGTTATGATGTTTCTAATATTTATTGTTTCCTCATTTATATAAATGAGGACAAAATATTAGAAAAACCTCCCAGTGTTACACAATATAATTCCATAGCACCACAAATGACCACCTTAGACTGCATTAGTTTTAGCTAGGTGCATCCACTGAACACGTTTTTTCTATTCTCAGTTTTGCAATTTTAATAATGGAGCACAATTTAGCATTTCTGACATATGGGGTCAGGTCAGTCTCATAATGAATGAACTCACGCAAGGTTTTTCACGAATGCACACGCTCTGGTTCACAAATATAATTTTTATACAAACTTGTAATATAAATTCGGAAATGCACACGCTCTGCTTCACAAATATTATTTTCAGGCACACTTGTTATATAAATTAACAGATCATGCGAATTGCTGAATGTACATTTACAAACTGCTTCTCATTTGTGAACCACTCCACATTTGTGAGAGAAATCTGTGTGGTGAATTTTGAGACTCCCCTGACGTTGCAGGTCAACGAACGTCACCATTGGCTGATAAATCTGTCAATCAAATTTATGATTCTGATTGACAGATTCATCAGTTAATCAGGTGTGTTCACTTTCAGCCAATCGTATGGCTCCTTACATTTTCTCCACACTTTTAAACCAATCGCAGAGCTACTGTTGGCAGTGTTCAAACAAGAAGTGCTAGACTTAAACGGTTGAAGAGATATGGATCAATCTCAACCTGTAAGTAACATATTTATCTTATTATCCCCTCGTTGTAAATCATGCAATGTTATTGAATTATAATGAGTTGAAGCGTTCTGCTTAGCCAAGTAACATGTTTGAATGAACATAAACTATAGCCATGTTTCTATCAGCCTGTTTAGATGCGCATCTAGAAGTATCGCATCGGAAAATTATGATGGAAACGCCAAAATTCGAATTAAAATCCCCTGATTCGCACAAAAATATAAAATATGCTCGCTTTAGCCGGGTTTTGGTTGACTCGAAAAAATGTTGAATCGCAAAACAAGGGATGGAAACAGTTATGTTGAAATTAAGTCTGACGTAGCTAGGGCTGGGTACCGAAACGTCGTCACGTCGGTACTACCGAGTACCAATTCACTTAAAATGAAACGGTGTCAAATTTCGGTACCTGAGGTGGAGGCGGAGCGAGAGCGCATAACTCGCACCTCAGACTCAACAACAATGGCGATGAAAACAGTGTGCAGACAAAAGTTAACATGCAGCACTGTTCCTAAATGTTCTCAATAAAATGTTGAAACTGAGAAGTTTAGACTATGGGCCTGAACGACGCATAGTGCGTCCAAATTCACACCCGTTGTTCTCTGTGGATTTTCTCCGTGACTGTGCGTCATAGCGAGAAGCCACGCATATCAGCGGAAACAGCAGAATTGTAGCTTTCCGACAAGGCCAAGCACTTGTCGGTAATCCAATGTTTTCACAGCAAAAAATTACAATAAAATGATGTATAACAGAGCTTTCATACAGCTTTGTACACACATTACTGTTGGATGGATTACTTGCGAACACAGGCTCGCACAGAAATGCCACGCATATCACATGAAAGCGCAGGACCACACACATCATTGTGCTGTCATCCCATCACGCTCTAAATACAGATCAGTTGTCTACAAAATAAAAACTTGACGAATTTCTTTACAATCCATTATACAGATCTTGTTATCAGTCACTTCATATAGTGAGGAATATCGTATCTTACCACGTCTTAGGCTTCCGTGTGTTTCTCCCTGTCTATCCACATTTGTAGTCCGGCTTTCAAGATGCAGATATCTCCGTATTGTCCAGTTGACTTTCAAACTTTCCATCAAACTTTGTATGACAAGACCAGCCACTTCACCTTTGCGCACCCAGACAACTGCAGCCTAATGCATGCTGACAGGGCCGTAGTCACCATATACATTGAGGGGGACACGTGCCCCCCCACCAATGCCCAAAATGTCTCCCCAATATATAACTGAAACTGAAAAACAAATATTATCTTGGAGGACATCACTGCACTTGGTTGACTATTTTTCTATGATCTTAGATGTAAATATTGCATGTTTCTTTCAGATAAAAGACATTTTTGACTTGTGAATGAGTCAATGGAATTTCTTGCAATAATGAAAAAATACTGGCAAACATGTCCGTCTGGCACAAACCACATGTTTTGGACAACTGTGAAGTGACAGAATGTCCCACCATCATGGTTCTTATATTGCCAGATTCCAGAGAGTCTCCCCTCTTCATATATGGTAGAATATGTCATTTTCCAACTTGCTATGCTGAGATACATGTAAAAATGTAAGAATTTAGTCACACAGATTTGTTTTTTTCATTGATATAAAAATTAATATAAAATACAGGCACATAGAAGAACATGAAATGATGGCAAATCTGGATAGCCCAGATTGTCCTGAAAAAAACAAGATATAGCATGTGTATGTAGCCTTTATAATGACTGTGATATGAGCTTAAAAGTAAAGGCAGTAAAAATACCCCAAAAAGGCCTAGGGCCCATAGGGTTAAAAAGTACCGAAATAAGGTACCGTTTGGTACCGGTACCAAATTCCAGATACCGGTACCGGTACCATATCGGTTCAATTATGAACGGTACCCAACCCTAGATGTAGCACACCTCTCTCCATGGTGATATCCACACTCCGGGTCAGGAAGGCGGTAATGCATTTACAAGCTGGTTGCCAACTGCCAGAAAACGTAGAAGAAGAAGAACGCGAGACTTGTTTTGTTTCCGGTTCTGCGGAAAACTCGCACAAGTATGTAGTTTTCACCAAAGTCCGTACATTTAATGGAAACACACAGGATTCGTATTTCTTTTAATGTGCATTTCCCAATGATTCGAATCACTTTTGGATGGAAACATAGCTTATGAATACAGCCTTCCCGAAAATTGACCTCCATTCTTCTTAATGGCAGAGTTTCCCATTTTTTCTATAGCCCCCACTATTCCCCACACAGATTTCTCTCACAAATGTGGAGAGGTTCACAAATGAGAAGCAGTTTGTAAACGCACATTCAGCGATTCGCATGATCTGTGAATTTATATTACAAGTGTGCCTCAAAATAATATTTGTGAAGCAGAGCGTGTGCATTTCCGAATTTATATTACAAGTTTGCATAAAAATTATATTTGTGAACCAGAGCGTGTGCATTTGCGAAACAGATCGTGTGCATTAGTGAGTCCGATATGCAACTGTGAACCAGAGCATGTGCATTCATGAAAAACCCTGCGTGAGTTCATTCATTATGAGACTGATCTGACCTCATACTAACAGCTCACATAACTCGTAACAAAATAAACAAAGGCCTTGACATGGTAGTAGGCTTCATAGAGCTGATACTGACCAGATAAAAATACCTTGATTGCCTTGATTATTATTTTGGCTCTTGACATTTATACTGTTTCAATAAGTTAATCAGATTTGTGGTAGTCTTCTCTGTCAGCCAACAAAAGCTCAGAGAATGTCTCAGAATTTTAAGATGCCGTAAACACTTAATGTAGTGTAAACATTGTGTGGAAATTGACTTTTATTTAGAGTTAAGAACATGAACTTATTATTAGTAACATTTTGGTCATACTCAGATGCAATCAGGAGATAGATTTTCACAGTGGTTATGATGGTGATTAATAGGATCTTAATTGTGACAATCAAATATCCTACATGTGTGTACTCCTGATGATACTGTTACTTTGTTTTTACAAGGCTGTTTTTAATTCTCGTGCAGGTTCCTATGTATGTGGGGTGTGTGGGAAGAAGTACAAGTATTATAACTGCTTTCAGACACACGTCAGGGCACACAGAGGTAAGTCATTTCTTTTTTTTGGTCTTTTTAACATATGCATTGTCTTTATGAAAAGTCAAATAATAGCCGACTGCTCGCTGTGTTTTTCCCTCTCTTGACAGTACGGTCCTAAAATTATTCACTTCCTCTAAATGAGTCACGCATGTCTAGTTCTGGCTAGGAATTTTATTTGATATATTTAATTATTTTTTTGGCCTCTGAATTGTTTTAATGCGAGAAAGCACGCGTTGGAAGCGGTGAGCAGATGTGAGCACACAGTCATCTATTCACAGATTTCTCTGAGGCTGACTGTTACTGTCCCCCCCCCCCCATTTTTCCACCACAGAATCAGATAGCATGGTTGCGGATGGTCTCCCCCAGACAGCCAACAGTGAGTACAATTTTGCCCATCATCCAGTGTACACAATGAAATTTATTAGCATGTCAGCACAAGCTGTTTATTTCATACCTGGCTCGTATTGCAGACATTATGTTGTTTTACTAGATATCTTTTTAGATTTTCATAAAGCTGACTGAAAAACAATCCACCGCAACTTATAACTGAAGATGCCTTTGTTTCTATGTGACTAAGCAGGCTATAAGCCATATTATTTACCCTCATTGTCCCCCTCCCTCTCTCCCATCAGTCTTGTCTCCTCACTGTAGGCGCCTTCCCATAGGTGACATCCTAATACCAGGTACATATAAGGCAACATCCAATTTTACCTCAACATTTCTGGCACAGTCATGTCATGGGTGGACACAATGTTCTGATTATCACAATATTTTTGTCTGAGAACATCATTTCCTCTGGTTTAAGTGAGGTGAACCTGAAAGTATATATAAAAATAAATGCCGGCCTGCAGGTTTGGGGATGTTGCTCTTTTATAATTGCATTGTATATCAGCTGCCAGGACCTGTATTTATCAGGCATCTTAAAATCACTCCCAGGAATCACGGTGAAAGTTTGATTAGGACTAAAAATACTCCTACCTCAGAGTAGTACTTGAGAGTTATTTATAAAGCTTCCTACACGCACTCTCAGCAATCATTACATGAATGTGCACATCGCTTAAAGGCAGCACTATCAACATGGCAGGGAGAAAAGAAAGAGCAATCATTTTGATGCAGACAGAACACTATTTTTTTGTTGTTGCATGAGAAATATAAACACTGTGTAACCAAAAGGTCTGTGACAGTTAATAAGTAGGCCAGAAAGGCTGCTAGGTGGAAAAAAAAAAAAAAAAAAATCCTGATAGATTAAATTCTTAAGAGGATGGAACATGCTGTAAAGCATTTTTGGTTGATGCCACTTTAGACTTTATACTTGATAATGACTGGCATGCCAATTTATGAGAGCATTTTTAAATATAACTTGCTTCTAAGATCACTCCAAGTGGCCCCAAAAGAATGTGGCAGCAAGTAAAGATCAAACAAGCTCAGGCACATTATAACTTGTTTTAGTGGAAATTAATTTAATACAGAAAGATAAATAGAGTGATTTCTGCAGGAAGAATAAAATCACTTCTACATGTCAGTGATTATGATAAGTTTAAAGCCCTGGTTTAAGGTTGCACAGTTAAGATATGGCATTGTCATAACCTTGACTTTAAGCCTGCTTAACACCAGACTTGTTCCTAATGATTGGGTACTAAAGCAACTTACTCTGGATCATTGCAAGCCTGTGTTTTAAAACCAACAGAGGAAAATTAAGCTGGGCCAACTGATAAAAACCTGGATTTTCCAGTCAGTATGGTTTGTAAAATATCCCTCTGTTGAAGGAGTGTGGGCATAGGAGGATTTTTGAAAAGCAGAAAACAACACAGGCTTTAGTGTTGTGGAGGAGTTCCTGGAGTTGAAGAGTATTTTTAAGCACGGCTCGAACAAACTTTCTGTACTGATTAAGTGGGCGTTAAGACCAAAAACAGCACTGTGTTTAAATCATACAGGGGTTGGCGGGGGTGTGTTGCTTAAGGTACCAGTGAGACAATAAAACATGATCCAGGACGTCTAGTGTGATTAATGGATCTATTTAAATCGTCAGACACCAAAACACAGAACAGAGCATTATAATAGTTGGACTGTGAGACAGGCCTTAACAATTCTAGCATGAATATAATCACATTCTTATACGCAGCGCTGTGCCAGATGTCATTGCATTGTGTATTCCATACTATAACCCTGTCCTATTGATTGTGAAATCAAATGTAAAATAGATTTTGCATTTCTCAGTTTTGTTAAATTGGCAGACGGCGTGCAACCAAAATGAAAATGCAAACTGTACTTTGGCATTTGAATGTGAAATATGTCAGAATTGTAGTGCTTAGCAAATGGAAATGAAATTGAAATGCCAGTTTGAATTTTCATATTTTCATTTGAGTGGCAGGATTTTCCCAGGCTTGTTTTTTAAAATATTTCATAGTAATTCTCCAAAAGCAGCGGGCAGGATGTAACATCCAGTTGCTTACATTTTTATTGAAACACCCAAATCAGAGGACGTTGTAGGGTGTCATATCTTGAGCTCTGAGCTTGTGTTTATTTTTTACAAGCCATTTGAAAACAGAGGGGGAAGTAATCAGGTTGGATGAGATTGTGCTTGACTCTTAAAGGTATACTATGCAGGATTACAGATAGTCAGTTACCCTTTGTAAACAGTATTGCCAACAAAAGTGAAAGCTAGCTCTAGCCCTCATTGTCATTTGCTATATTTGCTTTTCTTTCTGTGCTGTGTCTTTGATTTTTGTCAATTTCTCTTAGATGCGTGCTGCTTACAGTTTATCATCTGGTTGTACCTTTTTATAATACCCGCGCTTATAGCTGCGCGCTGTGCCCACAATGTTCTGAACATAGCAAAATAAGGAGAGAAGAAAACACAAGCAGAGGGCAGAGCCTCTGCAGATAAATACACCACCACTCAGTTCTAGTGGTTTATGAGTGATGATTGAGCGAGATTGCTTTTGTTTTAAACATTGCTTTTTAGGAAAAATTCTCCATAGTATACCCTTAACTGTCCTTGCTTTCTTTGGGAGTGTTGTGTGTGGCTATGTCTGAAAGTGTAATGCATTCACTTAAGAAAAAAATTGCCCTGTTTTAGAATTAATGAGGTAATAATTGTGTTAATTCAGTAAAATAGAGCAGATTTTTTTTCTCTTGGTGAGTGCATTTCGCCTCCATAGCTATGTAACAGCCAGTGCACAGATACATCCCAGTAGAGAGACGAGTCTAACCTGCAAGGATCATGCATCCGTAACAACTTATCTATGTTGTTACTGTGTTATCGATTTACTCAGGATGTGTCCTCACCTGTGCTTGGAGCAATGATGTTATGTGAGCTTTAATTACACTGACAAATGCCAGGAACCCACTAATTTGTGGAAAATAGTTTTAATCACGTCAATTGGTGGGGAAATTATAGAATATGCATGGTATTAGAGCCTTGAGGTGTTGTAAATGCAATTACAGTTAGGCACCCTAATAATCGCTTTTGTCGCTGTATTTCCTTGTTGCCAATTAAGCATAAATTGCATGAACCCTTTCGCTGTGTACAGAAGGAACTAGTTTTTAAATCAAATGTTTTGGCTTTTCTGTGCCCCCGTCTATCATACATCTAGTACAGCCATTTACTGTCTTCCCAAAATATCTAAAATACAGTTTTTCTAACATCTTACTTTTTAAATCACCGATAGAGATCATGAAGACATGCATTCAGACTTAAAAACGATCAGTCCAGAACAGAATAAACATATCTTTCACGGTATTTAAATACATCTTTGGAATACCTCAGGAATTCAGAAAGCAGCTGATTGAATTAGCAGAGTCAGGACGGACTGCAGAAAGTTCAGAAGTTGTCGCTCTGCTGCTAAATGATAAAACATTTGTCACATGGGTGTGTAAGGTGGTTTAGGGGCCCTCTGCTGGGGCAACATCAGTCAGGCATAATACTATGAAGAGAAGACTAAACCTGAACCAACTGGAGAAAGAAGGTTAGAAATAGATTTTGTTGCCTTACGCCATGCTGTTTATGCAACAGATTGGCTTCAGACAGGGTTTCACTGTGGTGTGCCAAGGCGCACTTCAGGTGTTCTTAATTGTCAGCAGCCACCTGGCTGCACAAAGATCCCACTGCAACAAAATTAGGAAGAGCAGAACAAGTAATCTTCAGCCCTTATGTCCTCTCACTGTCTCAGCCCTCTACAGACTTGGCTGCAAAAGTTAAAACACATGTAAACATGAAGAAGTGATATTAATGCACAGTCAAAAATATATGTTTCATGATTTGGGTCTTAACGTATAGTTAATTCAGTGTGCAGGTTTAAAAAAAAAAATAGTTTAATTCATATGCTAACAGTATGTCGATCTGACAAATCCCAAATAAAAATGCAAAGGCAAATTCTCATTTAATTCTTTTATATTTTACTTATAACACTATTTGAGTTTAATTCAAATTTATAATGCAGCATTTAACTTATTTACACTGAAACGTGTTTTGCATTAGTATATTTTTAACTCTGTTTATATGGAGATGTCAGTCATAAAACTAATCAGATCATTATTACCTTTTCTATCAGTTTCCCCGCAGGGATTCATCTGCCTATTTGTCTTGTTTATCTAATCTCATTTAGCCTCTCTCTGTCTGTCTGTCTGTCTGTCTGTCTGTCCCAATGCAATCATATCTTTTCCTATGTACTTTAATCTTATTTGTTCATTTATCAATGTTTCTAATGCAGAATGACTAAAAGCAGAACTCTGCCCTCTCTGCCCCTTTTTTCTCTGGCACAATGAAATACTTTTTCTGCAAATTAAGTGTGAAAAGCAACTGCACCACCTTGGGGTACAGGGTGTTTGACTGCTTCTCTGAACGTATTAAACTGCTGTGTTTTGGGGCTTAGTTGGTGAAATTGTACGCACTGTACCTGCAGTGGCTCCTTAAGCCATGTCACATTACCTTCTACCATTTCTCCTGCTCTCTGTACTGTGCACCAAACCAAAGTTTGCTGTTGTCATGTTATTATAGGGTTATTATTTTCACAGTTGGGTCATTCTATGCCATCTCACCCAGAATTCAGAACATTTCACTGTTCAAGTCATGAGTTGGGGAAAAAAATTATGTAAAAACTCCTGTGAACTTCACAGTACCCTGCGAAACCCTTAGAATTACATTTCATCTTTTTTTTTTTTTTTTTTTTTTTTTTTTTTGCTTCTTTAAATTTTTCTGTAAATCTGCAATTAATGTCATAACTTAACCATAAAAAAATAGGGAAATTGAAATAATCCTTCTTCGGAAAAATATACAGTCAAAATATCTGACTGAATGGGTTTTTCAGCTTCGAAGCACTCGTTTTTTTATACAGGACCAAATAACTTCTAGATGTGATAGAACTATATTAATACTAAACAGAACAAAAATTTGGCTGCAGTAAAGTGAAACCTAGTGAAGATAATAATTGTTGAAAATCAAAGATTCTTTGTTCTGGGAATTTTTTAAAACATTTCTATTAATTTGATTACTGTAAAAAAAAAAAAATCAGCGACAGCTATTTACATGAATACATGTTGTGTACTATTCTTAAGGCTCATTTATACTTCCTTTACGCACAAAAATGAATCTGTCCGTTTGAACCTGGTAAACATCACTGCTGTCATACTTTCAGGCGTCCTTTATATTGGCATAGACACTGCCAATAAATGGAGCTAGAGGGCAGAGTAAAAGTTTCATACAACAACAAACAGAAGCAGTGTTGTAAATGGAAGTGGTCTATGTGGCCATTAAAAACATCTTGACATTTAGATGGAGAAGTCTTTGCGCTGTATTATAGATCCGTTCCACCATTTTTTAAACTTCTAAGTTGTCTCCTGTGGTCATAACTCGCCTAAACAAAGCTACACTGCCTCCATGATCGCTGGTGGTACTGCATCATTTCTTCCGTATCTGTAAGCTTACAGAAAATGTGCACAGACAAAATGAGCACGGGGTACAGACACAAAGCTCTGTCTGTCTCCGTCTCCATATCTCAGGTTGAGCATAAATGAGCCCTTTAGGGTTCTTGGACGTTCAGTACAAATTTAAACCCAATCCAGTGAAAACTAAGCAATTGGTGAGGCTTAGAATACACATACAAAGAATGGCAAAATTACAAAATTTTGCTGCGAACGGCCAAACTTAAAAAGAAGAATCAAAACTAGAGAAGTGCTTGGAATCGAGCTATAGGATTTTGAAGTGTCCTGTGAACCTAATAGAAGTTTGCACATGAATTAATTAAAAAATCGTTGACAAGACCTCCTAGGTGAGTTGGTATGAAATGACCCAGTTTGCAGTTTTTGATTTTGTCATCCACAAAATACTGCTTGTCAGTCCCAGCAATATTCATTGTCTTTATCAACAATGCCGCTCTCTCTATCTGTTCATCCGCAGATAGCTTCCGTTACTCCTGTGACATCTGTGGCAAGAAGTATAAATACTACAGCTGCTTCCAGGAGCACCGTGACCTGCATGCAGTTGATGGTAACCAGGAGTTTTTTTGGACAATTTGCATGACAATTTATTTTTTTCTTTGAAACTCCCAAGTCTTGCTCTGGAAAGCCATTTATAAGTGAACTTCCCATTTCACACTGTCCCCTCGCAGCAGAATCTCTGCTTCCTGCAGCAGCAACAAAAGCTGAGTAGCATAGTAAAGAGGAGTTGATCAGAAAACTTCAGGCCTTTTTGCTAAGAAAAAAAAAAAAAATACACTATCAAATGAGCACTTGCCTGACTCTAATGTTAGTCTTTCTCAGGTAAAGTGTATTTCAGACAGGATAGTTCTCACGTTTGTGGACGCAAATAAATCCCACTATTTTAGAATTTACTTTAATTTGACATTGTTTATTTATACTAGCACTTAACTACAGAGTATCACTTCATGTAAAGTCATATGTAAAAATGTAAAGAAGGTATGAATATGTAAGTAAACTGTGGGATGTCTTTGCCATTCTCCATTTCTTCCTCATCTGCCTCCTCCATCTCTCTCAGATCCATATGAACAGGTAGTGTTACCTGTGGATGGCCTTAAAGAGGAGGAGCCAGTTGAACCCTACCAGAAAATCGGACCAAGTAAGACTGTTTGATGCACTTTTTGTTTTTGCAAGTTCTACAGATATACAGCAGGAAAAGATGACAAAATGTATCATACATACAGTAGCATAGGCAGCAAATTGCAGCTGCTGCAAGAAGAAATAGATTAGATTGGGATCATTTGTCATTGTAACCCATTGTTTCAGAATGATTAGATCTAATTGCTTTTAAGATATATTTTAGTGATTATTTTAGAGTGGGAAATCATACATCTGACATATCTTCATAGATGGGATTGAAGGGTAAGTTTGGTACTTTCCAACCTGGACCCTATTTTCCCAGATTTTTGTGTCTAAATGAGTAATGGGAACAACCGCTTTCGAAATTGGTCCAGTGTTGAGCGAGGATAGCCATCACCAATTCCACCAGTCTCCATTCAAATAAACAGTAATTATAGGATATATAAAGCCAGCATACTTTCACATGTAACTGGGTGAATTAGGGGTTTATTCCAACCAAACCAGAGTTGCTGATTGTTGACGAACTCAGACATTTTTTTGTGAGTTTTCTTTTTTCTGTCGACTTTAGATGCAGTGTGTTTCATGATGATAAAATTACTGTTGTTTCTGGTTGGTTTGGCGATTAAAAAAGTTGGGGCTGTTTCTGGTTAAATAAAAAGGATCTCTTTAACAAAAATGTCTCTCTCTGTACGGATACTTTCCACAAGTTTTCAGACACTATTAATATCCTGAACCTATTGGTGGCAAAAACGAGCACTTTAGTAGACGTTAATTGACGGTGCGAACATGCCCCAAAGGGTAACATTGCAGCCTGTTTCGTGGTCTTGCCCACTTTAAAAATCGCTGTTCCCATCAGTCTCTTAGACACAAGAAGGAATTAGGACTCAGGTTGAAAAATACTGAACTTAACCTTTAAGGTTGATTTTAGGTGCATCCATCATTTGTTTGATTTTTCTTAACATAACAAACATTTGACAGCTTGAAGTCCACCTGTGTCCAGCTCAGCGTATTAGACACAGTTTGTAATGCACAACCTTAAGTCATGGTGATGATCCATGTTAGAACAATATCACAAAGCATATGAGCTAACTCCACACTGGAAAGGTTTCAGAACATGAGTCCAAAAGTCCTCCTTCGCAGGGGAAAAAGCACTCGCCCACCTCCGCAGAGACCGCGGGTTCAACCGACGGCAGCGGGTGTCCCTTCAAACACAATTGGCAGTGTTCGCAGGTGGGAAGCCTGCTCTTGTCACTGCACTAATGACTCCTACTGATTGGGGGGAATAGCGTGAACCTCCAGGCACTATGCAGGGAGACCCCTGTGTGTTTTAATGTTCTCTAATATTGAGGTATTGCTAAATGTAAATTTTCAGATGAGAAAAGATACATCAGAATCACCAGCTCCTTCGTCTTTTCCACTCTATTAGACCTCTTGTTTTCTGCTTCTCCCTTGTGAAATGAGACCTGATTAACAAATCCATTCTGTCGCCTTTTTTTTATTGAACACAATTAATCCAACAAACTGGACCTTAATTGATATAATGCAGTTTTACCACTAACATGGATTTTTAAGAAAACAAAGGTTTGATTGTTTGTTTTCTTGTCCGCAGAAACTGGGAGCTATGTTTGTGAGTTCTGTGGGAAGCAGTACAAGTATTTCAACCCCTATCAGGAGCATGTTGCTCTTCACACACCAATGGGTAAGCTTGTTTAGTTACTGCTCAAAGTCAGGATGTGCAGGATTCCCCTATTTTAGTTACTGTGTTTGTTTTTACAAATATAACCACCAAACATTTATAATAACATGGTGTAGTACCTTTTGAACCCCTATGTAACCTGTACATATACCGAAACCCTAGAACCCTATTCCCACACTCGTGCTGACTTGGCTGGGTTAGGTTTGACTCTGCACGTCAGCCCAGCACTGCGTCTTAAACTGATTATGGCCTGTCATTTGTAATGACGTTTAAAAACAGTGGGCTGGTTCATGGCTAAAGGTCCCCTGTTATTTTGCTGCAAGTGTTTTTCCATCATGCAGCACAGCAGGTAAAAGAAGTTTACCTTTTAGAGGTGAGCTGTTTGTAGGGATGCAGTAAGAGTCTTTTGTCTGCAGTTCGTTATCTAACATCTCATTGTGGCTGTTTCTGCTTTTGCACTTCCTCCCTGTGGTACTAGTAGACTTATTTTGATTGAAGGTTAGCCGCTAACAAAAGTCGGCTAATTCAGTGTTAAACACATTTCATTCCCTTTAGATTCTTCACACTAAAAGCCCCCTGTTATTTGTCATTCATAACCTTTTATTGTGGAACAGCAAAATAAGGAAATGTCAGGAATTCATCAGCAGTAACTTAACGAGACTCCTATACAGCTGAAAGTGAACATGAAACAGTAAAATAAGGCAGATATCTAAAGACAAAAAAACAGGAAACAGGAGAGAAACTAAACTCCAAACCACAGAGTTTTAGTTAGAGTTTACAAAAGTAATGAGAGCTTCAGAGACTTTAAGAAAGGCTTTTGTCTCTGGTCTCCTGCAGACAGATGTGAGTTGAGTCTTGCAACACACACTTGTTTCAGGGGGAGAATGGGGGCTGTCAGGGGTTGGCTGTGGTAGGCAAGAAGTCACCGCTACCTGCTTGGAGGTGGTCAGGCGTGCTTTTGGCCCTCCTCCAGAGATTGTACCTCTCAGGTGCGGCTCAGCATGTTTAAACTGACAAAGGAAACGCAAATGGATTTGGCTTGGTTTGACTCGGCGCAGCCAAAAGAGCTTATAGAAAAGGGGTATACATCTGTTTTATGTTTCCACAGCAGACAGTACTCTTAAATGTTGTTACTGCTGATGTTACGGGGTCGTTACTGCTCTACCGCAATTGGTGGGATATTTAAAAATGGTTTGTTCGTTGAGTGATTGAGTCCTTGTCATGCGAAATTGTCGTGTTTGTAGTGTTTGTAGCTCCACCTTTTAGTATTGGATTAGTGTGCTATGTTCTACAACAAAGTGGTAACAAGACTGTGTTGTACTAAGTATCTGTGAGCTGTAAATTCACCACTTCCAAGCAGAAGAGAGAAGATAAAGTTATCTTGGAGCCTTACGGTGGAAAGTTTCTCCTTGCCTGTGCCGCTGCATTTCGACCAGAGGTCTCTGTACCAGTGAGAAGTGTTAAAGTCTAGAGCGCTTACTCTTCAGCAAAATCTGGGGACCAAAACAACCCCAAGTCGACTGAGGGGTCTCCGACTGACGATTCGAATCTCCAAATTTCAAGGAGCAGCCGCAGAAGTTTTAACATTTCAAAGTTTGTTTTTTAATGTGTACAATGCTAATTTTGCATCTTTGGTAAGAAAAACCAATCAGTATTGTCATAATGGGTGTCACCGGTGTAAGTTGGACCACTGGACTGCAACTGACTCTGAGAATCTGTCTTGATGTAGGCTCCTTTGATTTGAAGACATCACGGGTACAGGAATGTGGTAGCATGGATATGAGTAAATTTGGCCACAGCCAAGCTGGTAAGATAAAAAGTAAGCATTTTTTTTATCCTACATTTTTTCAGTTGTTGTTGATTTACTTTATAATGCTAAGCAAAATTTTCAAATTTTCATGCTTTGTTACCTCATAATCTGAATATTTGTACTCTCAACATATATACACACACACACACACACACACACACACAAAGTTGTGCCTGCCTTTACCTTTAATTTAGAGCCAAGTATGATATTTACAGATCATATACTGTACATTAGATTTGTCATTGGTGTTGTAGAACTTGAATGCTTTGTGATTGGCCGAGGGTGTCAACATGACAAATTGTGATAATGTTGGTAATGAGTCACGCCAAAATGGAGCAGAGATGGATGTTGTTAAAATGGGAGAACAACCTAGTGAACATGATCAGAAACCAAACACCTATTGCATGCACTGCTGAATAATGTCTTTTTAAAATGTCAGTGTGACTCCGGTCGCCCACACGACCACAGACGTGCAACCAGTCAGTTTACCATGACATTGGCATAGCTGGGTTTGATGGCAGGGACCGTCACAATAATATCACAGTCCTGCTGTGAGGGTGTGGTAGGAATTCATAAAAGCGAGCCTCACTGTGGCTAACGCATGTTCGCTGAGCCAGTGGAAAAAGAATTTAAGAGAACCCTGAGAGACTGAATGTACTGTAAGGTTCTGGGTCACCTTGCCACTGTATTTGTGGCAACCCTGCTGGAAACTATTAACCTCTAGTGAATGGTTAATTGCACACTTAAAGTGATGATACTTAAACGTTTTTTTTTCTTCTCTTGTTATGACTCTTTTTAATTGCCTCAAGCACATAAAATGATTAAAATGATGTTCAAAAACACTGAAATTAAATTTAATATAGCCCACACAGATTCCACGATTTCTTACCAAATGTTAGTTTTTTTAAAAGCTGTCATATTTATTTCCAGAAACATTCACAAGCTAAAAAAAAAAACACTAATTAAAATACTTTTTTTTTTTTGCTTTAACAAAGTAAAATTAATCACAAAGTGTTTAAGATTGTTATTTTAACACATTACATATAGTCCTTTGTCAACATTGCAGGCTCCATTTCTTCACCAAAACTTGTTCCCAGCTGTCATAAATCGATGATTTTTCTTCACACTGGTACTGTATTTTGTGGCTCATGACCCCCCCCCCCTTCATCTTTCTGCTAAGAAGCACTCCACCATAAAGAACTATTTAAAGCATGGCACACACTCACATCTTAGAAGTGGGTCAAAAAGATGGAACGAAGAGGAGGAATTAAAACCATATTTAAATATAATATGAAAATTTGGATCCTTTGTCGAGGCCGTTAGCGTGATTGATTTGCATGCTGCAAACTAAAACTCAGATTAATGAATTTCACGCCATTGACTTTGCTCCAACTTAAGTGTTGTGTGGGTTCAAAGCTCGAATTAAGAATATTATCCACGTTACTTACCACGGACATGTCACTCAGTGTTTCTCCTGTGTTTTCACTTACAGACAGTCCATTCAGGCGGAAACTGGAAAGTGCAATTCAGTCTAGTCTGGTTGACACAAACAGCTCGCAGAATTCGAGCGGTGAGCACTGAGTCACTTAATTTTATGTGGATGTGTGTGTATTTGTGTGGAAATGTGTCATTTCTGCTCGAACGGTGAAAAGGTATTTTCAGTTCTGCTACAAAGCAGGTATATGTGAGTGTCAGTATAGATAGAAGCAGTATTTCTGCAGACAGTGTTTTGCCGCTGATGCCTGGGCTGAAAATTGAGATGGAGGGGGAGTAGATGATGTTAAGAGGTTTGTGTGACCTACCTTGCATCAATTGTTACTATATAAAACTCAAGTCCAAGAGCTCGATTATTATTATTATTATTCTACTCCACACTCAGACCATGAAAATGGAGACCTTGTTGAATACCATGTTGGATCACCTTTGGCTCTGATAACACGCACTAACATAACATAGCACTGCCACACATCATGGCACTGATTCAAAAAGCAGCTTGTAGTTAAAGGCCTTGAAAACATATTTTCTTTATAAAGCTTCTTACTGTGAGCAATGTTGTCCTACAGTACAAAAGTCTTCTTTGTTTTCCATTAGTTTCCTGTCTGTGCCGTTTTGTTGTGCTTTTCTCGCTCAGAGAAAAGTATTTGTTTTTGCCTGGTGCCGGAATCAATCAATACGTCCTTGTAATAAATTGGCTGTATACAGTTAACATCACTATCAGTCACTGATCACAGTTTCTGTGAGGTCTCATAGTGTTTGGTACCAGAGCATAGAAATGTTAAGTAAATGCTTTTGCAAATCATGCTTGCCATTTCAAAGAATAATAAACACCAAAGGGGCTGACTGAATAAACAACAGAAAAGAGTGGTCGAGAATGGCCCACTGTGTTTGTAGTTTTAACTCCCTCCCTATCCTCCCGTCCACAGGAACTCCGAGCCCTCTGGTGGCCAGCACCTTCTCTGCAACCCAGAGTAAGTCCAACCCCACCTTCCTGCTCAGAACAGCAAATATGCATGCTGCCTTCTTCTCATTTCACCCTTTTTTCTGGTATGCTTCAATTTTGTTTTTAATCTGTCGTTGTTTGGTGTTAGTAGTTTCTCTAATCCATTTTGATTAAAGAGATTTTCTGCATTTAGCTTCATTATCACGAGGGAATGTCTGAACAGGATTGTTAACACTAGCCATAATATGCATCTGCATTGTGCACAGATATCGCTGTGTCTTGTAATGACTGATAATTAAGCAGTCAGACTCATACCTGTATAAGGTTTTCTTTTGGTGGACAAGGATTGTTGGAAAAGGATTTTAAAATGTTTATGTTTAAACATTTGTTTATTATATTTTTTTGTAAATGTTGCCTTTATTAGACAGAAAGTGAAGGTAGAGATGGAGAGATAGGGAGGGGGACTGACACGCAACAAATGCTTTTCAAACCAGGGACATTCTGATTACATGGCCAGCGCCTTAAATCCACCGGCCATTAGGACGAACCAGCAGACAAATTTTAAACATTGCTGCAGGTCTTTGCAAAGCAACACAAAAACTGCATCACGATTCGAGCCACGTCTCGGTGGAACTGACCTCCAGAGTATAGATCGGGGTTATTAGAGGCTAGTCGATGGACATATGCACAGTGTATTCATTTTCTCCTCCGACAAAGAGTCAACACTCTTCTGGGCCTTGTGATTTTTTAGAACCCTACACTTGTGGTGCCTGTGGCATCCAGTTCCAGTTCTACAACAACCTGCTGGAGCACATGCAGTCCCACGCTGGTGAGTTCACGACTACAAATGCATGTTAAGCTGGACAGGGAAACAAAAACAGAATGTGAACACACCCTCAGTGGCTGCAATGCATGTGGAAGTCTGTATGATCACCTAGAATCCTCAATTGTTATTGAAGAATAGGCATTAAATTCCTGAGAACACATTTGCATATGAAGTTCCAAGGAACATATTGTTGTAATCAGGGTTGTTGCAGATCTGGTTCTGAGGCTGCTGGATACAGTTTTCATGTTTTGTTGCAAAAGCTTTAGTGCATCATACATGTTTCCATGTATATATGCAGTAGTGCATTCTTTTTCATTTAATCATTCAGTACATAAAATGTCAGTGATAAAGATCAATTCTAATCTCAAGCAAGCACAATCGACAGACATGACAAAATTGCTTTGTGTTGCTCACAGTCAAAACAACAAAAAATATTAATTTTACAATGGTATGAAAACTAGGATAGCAAGCAAAACCCTACATCTGAGAAGCTGTAACCACCAAATGTTTGGTATTTTTACTTGATAAATGCCTTATGTGCAGTTTGTTTACCCTCTTATGCATGAATCATGTTGCTTGTCCTCCAATATATTTACACTAGTTGATAATTTATGATGAATTTTTGCTGTTTGGCATTGGCCTTGCTTTTGAATTACTGCTGTGAGACTGACTTCATTTAAAGACACACCCAGCAACATTTGTGGATATTCATATATGACAACTGACTGAGGAAACAATTTAGTGTAAGGTCTTTTTATCAACCTGGTCACTAGAGTTGGGTTGGCGATTTTCAGTTTTGATTGTCCAGCCGGTTGTAGGAGCTGAAACCGATTAGACTTTACGCAAACTGGCGTTTGTCATTATGACAAAAGCAGCCTACGTCAGCAACCTGTGCCAACGGCGTCACATATATTGCATCAGTAATGAGGAATATGACAACATGCTCAACATAATGTCATGTTTCTTTGTTAGTGGAGCCACTAGTGTTTGACAGGCTGTGCGCAATTTACTGCCGAACTGAGGCCGACAACATGAAGGAGTTCAAATTGCAGTAGAGGTGGGAGGGGGGAGGATGCACACGGTGCACATTTTGCTTATTTACTAGAAACTTGGTGACGAGACTGCTCTCTCAAATTCCTTTAATACAGCCTGTTCAAGGTGCAAATGTAGCCGTTATATTTAAAAATAAGAAACGGGGAATGGGAGGGCATTGTGGTTTTGCTGTTGAGCCGACAGCCGAATCTCATTGTGTGTATTTAGGAGCCGCTGCTCAGTTATGTGCAACACCTAGTGGTAAAATCTGGTATACTATTGCGGTCTGAAGTTTGGCTTACAATCAAACCGGTTTTGACATTTTTACATCGGCCCAACCCTACTGGTCAGCTGATTATGAAGGCACAGTCTGTTAATGAAAGCTTATTGGAGGCCAAGTAATGTGTTTTTGTCTTTTCTTTTGCTGACAGCTGTTTTGTTTGTTTTATTTTGTGTCATCATTTTATTCTTTATTCTTTACATACACTTTCACCATTAAAACCATACAGTATCATCGCCACTTCTGCCTAATGTTCCATGTCCGTATCTCCACAGCGGACAATGAGAACCACACCAAAGGGGACTCTCCCAAAACCTCCTCAGCCTCCGGTCCTCAAGAGCCGCTGTGGAGAGGCTCTCAGGCTCAGGCCCATTCCTCAGTTAAACTACAAATCCAGCCTCAAAGTATCTCCCAGAGAAACAACACACTCAGCCGTAAGTACTGCAATCAACTTAATTCATTTCACACTGTCAGAGTCACCATACATAGGGGTCTATGAAAAGGTTTGTACCCTCTTTGACTCTTTGTACACTGTGTTGTTAGAAAGTTGTTGAAATGGAATAATTATGGAGCCTGCGGTGGCCTGTAGGTTAAGAAGCACACCATTTAACAACATCCCTGAGTGTTTTCTGTTGCACTAGAGCAAAAAGAAAATCTTCCTTTTGTGAATAAGATTCAAATAATGCCAAATGCAGTTTAAAGTTTAAAGTGAATCTGGTCCGTAAAATGAATCCAGGTTTGTTCCAGTGTTGTTACCATGTCTTTATTATTCCCTGTGATTCTGTATTTCCTTTTTTCTTATAAGATACTGTGTTTTCTGCAAAAACATAAACTAAGAAAAACAAATAAACACTAATTATCTTTCTCATGTTTACTCTACTTTCCTATTTATCCATCTGCTGTCTGTTCTGGCAGAGAATAATGGACTACCTGAGAAGGAACGACAGCAGGTGGCTGAGCGCCTCTTACGGGTAATGTGCTCAGATCTGAGCATGCTAAACGTGCTCAACAGCAAGGACTTCCTGAAGTTGGCACAGACCCTAGTGGATACAGGTGCTCGTCATGGTGCCTACTCCACCCGTGATGCTTTTGGCAACATGAGTGCCTTGGCACTGCGCCAGCTGCCCCGCATGTACAACCAAGTCAAAGTCAAAGTCACGTGTGCTCTAGGTTCCAATGCTTCACTCGGCATCGCTGTCACCTGCCACTCCCAGACATCAGGTCCAGATGCTTGCTATGTTCTAACAGCCTACCAGGTGGAGGGGTCGAGACTGAAGCGCTATGTGCTCGGCGTGAGGGAGGCTGAGCTGAGGGAGGGGCCTGAGCAGATTCACCACTGGGTGCAGAATGTGCTGTCTGAGTTTGTGATGTCAGACATTCGCACCGTGTATGTCTCAGAGCCCAGAGTGTGGGCGGCAGGATTTGCAGGATCACCACTTGGCGGCGGTGGCCGGAGCAGGATATGCTTGCGATGCGCGGGGTGTTCTCTCGGTGCAGTCGTCCAGGCTGTTCTCGGGAAGCGGAGCCTCCAGGCTCGAGGTCTTCACGAGTTGGCTGAGCTTCTCTCAACATGCCGAGATATCGCCTCCTCCACCACTCTGTCCCTACGTGAGGAGCCGTGCACCAACACATCCACAAGCACAACTGAGGAAGGTTCACAGAGCAGCCCCGCACAGTGCCCCACCCCTCCTTGCTGGGATCGTACGGCTGAAGCTCTTCTGCAGGTCCATGCACACTTTGAACAAATTTGTGAGGCTTTTGGACGCAGCAAGGCCACAGCTCCACTCCTCCAAGGTCTCAACAAGCATCTGCTGGGCACGCTGGCTTGTCTGCTGGCACCTCTGCGTCTGGCAGCTCTGGAGTTGAGCAGTCAGAGGAGACCAACGTTGCAGCAGGTGCTGCCGGTCTACCTACGCTTGGAGAAGTTTTTCACATCCAAAGCTGGAGAGGCTGGAACTGGCACGGCTAGCAAACTCTGCCACTACTTCCTAGAAGCACTGAAGGAGAACTTCAAGGTAATGAACTGGCATTGCATATAGTAAGTTTCTCAAACTAACATTTTGCTGTCAAAGTGATAGATCTTACCAGACATTTGATGCCAACTTGACAGTTGGTATGATTGCTACAAAAAAAAAAGTATCAGGGCTCAAACCCAGACCTGAGCCTTGGTATATCATGAATGCTCAGGAGTATTTGGTTTTAGGAAGTACTGACAACTGTTCGTTTGTCTCTAGGTTGAACGAGCCCACCAGGTAGCCATGGTCCTGGATCCACAACTCAAGCTGCGTTCAGTGCCAGCCTACCAGCATGAAGACATAATCTCCCGTGCATGCGAAATGGCTGCTGAAACCAGGGATGGAGGTATGACTGGTGGTGGAGGCTCAGGTGGTGAAGAGCGGGACACTGACGGCCCACCAACTCCAAAAATAAGCCGTGTAGAGGGTGCGGGAAACAATGGCGGCACCTCACGGGGGACCTCCTCATCTTGCTCTGTGTCTGGTAATGATGAGAGTCAGAGCCAAGTTAGGCAAGAGATTTTTCAATACCTGGCTGAGCCTCTCCTCCAAGGCACACCTGACCTCTTCCAGTACTGGAGCACAGCAGTGAACGAGAAGTTCCCCAAGCTCGCTCGCCTGGCGATGTGGCTCCTTGCTGTGCCTGCTGTGGGCATACGCAATGAGTGTGTGACTGTGTGCGAGCAGAGCCTAGCTATGAAGAGGAGGCAGCAGGTAACCGCTGAGGAGATGAACAAACTCATTTTCCTTCGCTCCAACATGGGCTAGGAGAGAAACTCAGCCAACCCTAATCAACCAAACCTTCACCTCCAACCAATGACTGAAGACTATTATTTATATACTGTAGGTTTAGACAACTTAAATGTGTTAAATACTTCTCCAGACAGATATTTACAGGAAACTCACATTGTATAGGTTGCAAACACCCATAAAACAATACGGCTTATTACATATTTTATATGGAGAAAGGACTGTTGTAAAGTACTGTGGACAAAATGTAGGGGTGGAACGGTAACTCTCAAAAGATTGTCCCGTTTGGTACGCCACCCTCGGTTTGGGATGCACATGTAAGCAGGATCAGTCTTATCATGGCCAGTGATTTGAATTACTCCAGCCTAATGACTGCTCAAGGCTATAATGCTGTTATTCTCACTGGATGGCAACATTTTCAGGTAAAGTCAGCTTTCACTGCTTGAAACTACCGTCATAGACCTCTGAAAACTCACAGCAGTACGTACTGTAGCATATACAGTATAAGAAGGATGAGTTTCATTGGTGTATGACATAAAAATTCAAGAGGTGAATCTCCACTGCCATTGCACCTCTGACACTTAAGTGTACCAGGTTTATGATTTACCGTGTATCACTGAAGATTATATTTTTCAACATACTCAGCCACGGGAAACAGTCAGGTATCACAGCTAAATCATTGCAGCTAATTTGATGGTCGCTTCTGGTGACCTAAAAATTTAGCTGTCGATCATTTGCATGCACTGCACTGCATGCATTTTTCATTCAAAGGGTAAAACAGCAGCTGATAAAACATTAATATGATGCTTTCCATTTCTGTTTATGTTACAAATTGTAAAGAAAAGTCATCCAATGGTTTGTTTTCTTACTAAAATTAACTCGAGAGGTCTTTTGCTGCTAGAATTGCAAGTCAAATTGCTAGATTTGCATAGATGGGCCTATACCATGAAGTTTTCTTGGATAAAATGAAGCTTTTGGTTGACTTTTCTTAACATGCACAAAGAGGATAGCATCATATTAGAATCTGTTTGTGGTCAGCTCTTACACTGATTTCATTCAGCCTTACCACAGCTGGATTGCACCAACAGGGAATTAAATAGCATATTGGTTATATTATCTTTTAATGCTTAATGGAACAACCCAGCTTGTATGTCAGTAAACACACAATAATGACATCTAGAGGCCATTTTGTCTGGCCAGATGATAGTTTCCAGATACTTCAGGAATCTCTGTCACATCAGTCAGCTCTGTGGGACGTCAGTACACTTCTTCTTACCGGAGACATTCTGCCTGTGCATTGCCCTCAGATAAACAGCAGTAATGTTATTAGCCATCAGCTTGGTAAGCTTGTAGGCAAGGATTTAATTCATAATTGCATAAATCCTTGTGTGGTTGCCCACTGTGTGTATGTGTGTGTGTGTGTTTGTTTTGTTTTTTCAAAGCTTAATTAGAAAAGACTTGTCCATAGGAAAGTTATCATTATTATTTTATTTATTCTTTTTTGCCTCATTTATCATTTTAATGTAAACATTGTCTTCCTTGCGAGCTACACATTTCCATTTTTAAAGCAATAAGCTTTATCATAGGGCATAGTTTCCAACTCTGTCTCCTCAAAATGACTGTTTTCATGACGTTCTTACAGTTAATTATTAATGGTAAATTATTTTCTTTGTGAAATCAACTCTCAGGAATGAGTGCACCCAAGCAGGCACCGCCACTTTTTCCTCACTGTACCGAAAACACACCGAACTGTGACCTCAATGCCGAGGTATGTACTGAACCGTGACTTTTGTGAAACGTTCCACCCCAAATACAGTTAGTGCCATTTGCAACAAACGAAAAATGGGTCTCCGAGGGTTTATTTTTTTTACAGGATGAAGCAACTTCTGCCAGTACGTTAAAATCAACACATGCATCCTAATGAAGTCAACTTATTTATTTTTTTATGGATTCTAGTATACATATATGCTAGCTAATACCTCCTAAAATGACTAGGGCGAATGGAAGTTATACTGTACATTTGTTTGTTGCCTTTGGTACTAATTAGTCAAGTACTAGTTTGTCATCTCTGTTTTTGGGCCTTAAGTCTCTTTCATGCGCCACCTTAAATGGATAGTTCGGACTTTTTAAGGATGGGCTGTATGAGTTACTTAAATATAATCAGTGTATTACCAACAGGAGATGACAGTCAGCATCCTTCTAGTTTGGAGAAACAAACAGGAGTACTGCCAAGGAAGCAAAGCAATGTACTGCTGTGGATGGGGGCAGCAGCAAAATATATTTTAGCCACCTATAAAAAAAGACCCACCGAAAAAATCTCTATCGTCAATCTGCATCATTCAAAGTGTGCACTATATTTAGAATATTTTTACTGCTTTACTTTGCTATTAGACCGTTCCTTCCCACTACATTTTCTCAACTGCAGGACTTCTGTATTCCTACGCATAGGCCTAACTATGCCAAATTGAAGACGGTCCACAAGACATTGGCATTTGGGGGACTCTGGATGATTGTTGATTCAGACTGCATGTGAGGCACTGGCATCCTCTGATTCAGAAAGATCCTGAAGTTGTTTTGTAACCGGCTCCAGGCAGCAGGTGGGCTTCGCATCTGCACAGCCAGTTAGCTGGTGCTCTTTCTTGGCCTCCAGTTTCCACAGAAATTTCCCCTTTTTCTCTCTCGGCCCATTAAGTCTCCATCTACAAAAGTTCCTCTGTATACTGTGGTTCATAAAGGTTTCCCCTTGTCGCCACAGTGAACGTCATTTTGTCGTTGCTGTCACAAATTTGTTGTCTTTTCCAAAAAAAGCTGAAAATCTGACCTAACAGCTGATCTGTGGTATAATTCAGTGTGCGGCACAGCTGCGCTTATTTGTAGGAATACAGAAGTTCTACAGTTGGCAAAACATAGTGTTAAACAAGCGGCAACCTCAGGCTGATAAATGAATCCAATGTGCAAGTGCCAAAACTGCAGTTCCTTGAATGGCCACTTGAGCCTGGCTCCAAAACAGCGTAAATCCCTTTAGTCCCCCATGTTAAAATGTCCAACTTCTCAGCAGATATAAGTAGCTTACACCCTGGTACAAAAAACAGTTTTGGTCTCTATAGCTAATTTCAACATTCATGACAATTGTACGGGGTTGAATTTTTTTTAATACTCTTCTATTCACATTTTATTAAGGCTTAAGGTTATGCATATTTAAGGGCGGGGCCACCTGAGTGACATGCATATTCCACATATAGCACACGCTTAAACTGATTTTTTTAGGTGGCTAAAATAGGTTTTGCTGCTCACCCTGTCCACAGCAGTATATTGCTTTCCTTCCATAACAGTACTCCTGCCTGCTTCGCCAAATTTTAAGACATGCCGTCAGCCATCTACTATAGGTAATCCACTGACTGTAGATAAGTACCTCATAAAACCCCACTTCAAAAAATCTGAGCTCTCCCTTTAACAGTCAGAGCCAACATCATGCCTTTTTATTGCTGTTAAATGGCCTTCTTTTCACCTTCTTTTCTAAAGCTTGTAGTTTTTTTTCCCACTTCTGTAGATTCAAAAGAACCTCTGGCTGATGGTTTGAAACAGTGCCCTCCAGTGGTCAAATGTGGAAAAAATCATTAACAACTGTGGTATTTGACAAGTGCTTTATTCCAAAGTTCAGGTCATCTCTTAATTTAATTTCTATATAACAGGTCAGGAATTATTTCCACAATAACAATAACACACCCAAGCACAAGTATCCACTGTATAAACCTATACTCAGAACCATGGAAATAAAATGAACTGTCATTTTATTTCTATACCGTAAACCTATACTCAGTAGGTCAGGTCTTTTCTGGGGTCATACCAGAGCAGAGAGATTTAACAAAACAAATATTGTAGTATGAGTGTTTCATTTGGAATTTGTTTATCTTAATATTTGTAATGCAGCTTAAATATCATTTGATCCTAAAGGGTTCAGTACAGTTAGATAATTTCACTGCTCCACATGGATGAGAGGCTATATAATCTACCCTTTGAATTATATTCAGATATTAAACACTAATAGTCATAACTGAAAAAAATCAACTTTAAGAAAAGAACAAAAAAAAAACCCATTGTATTTATTTTGTTTCCCAGCTTCCCAGTTCAACGTAATGGTCCATTGTGTAGGATTCATGGGCATCTAATAGCAGAAATTGTGTGTAATATTCCTAACTATGTTTTCATTAGTTTATAATGACTCAAAAAGAGGAATCATTGTGTTTTTGTTACCTTGGAATGAGCTGTTTTTTATCTACATGTGAGACGGGTCCTCTTCCATGGAGTTTACCATATTGTTTCTACAGTAGCCCAGAACGGACAAACCAAACACTGGGTTTAAAATGGGCCATTCATTTTTTTTGTCGGCCACCATACTTCTCCTACACACTTGGCACATGGGAGAAGTTTCAATTCTGCAACCTCACCGCTAGATGCCACTAAATCCTACACGCTGGACCTTCAGGATACGGTCACATTACTCCTCTGCCCAACAAATGTTCACTCAGCCTGCTGTTAATTTTAGTTGACTTGGACGAATTCAAGCATACGTTTCCTGTTATGGTTCATCTTTGTTTATCTTTGATCTCGCTAATGTGCACGGTTACTCAGTAGGATCACTGCTGAACTGTGCACACATAGTAACTTTAGTACCCCTGCTCTATGGCACCAACTTATTTAGCCATGGTTTCAGGTTTATAATCACACTTAAAAATATTTATTTATGACCCAGGCTGGAATTGTGATATGTTCTTCTTTGAGGCTGAGAGCTGGGCAATTTTGTTAAATGTGACTGTACCTTTAGGCTGTAAAGGACACAGGAAGTGGAAAGTAAGAAGTCAGTACACTGCACATGGGATATTACAGGGCATTTGAGTGAATGGTCTAAAGTGCAACGCCAAGGTCCAGCTAAAAATATTTCTAGTCCACCTGAGTGTCAGTTTTCAGTTACGCATTAAATTGTCAACTTCTTTTATAAATGCTTTAAAGGTTGAAAATGCTTACCTGTCAATTACAGGTGAACAGCTCTGCATTGCAAACTACATCATATTGTTTTTAACAGACTGTTGCCCTCTTTACCTCCATTAACAGCTTTGATGTAGTGATTCATAAATGTTCTTTTTATCCTCTTTTGTAAGAGTAACTTAAAACCAGGCTGTAAACTACTTTTGCTGCCCTCTCTTGTTGAAGGTCTTCTCCCTGTTTCACAATCAGTGATGCATGGTTGTGGTTAGAAATGTGGCCTGTCGCACCTCTAACCACACCCAACAGAGCAGTGATGTCTTTGGGGTTTTGAAGTGCACCTGTACATCTCTGTGTGCAACCACTGGAGGTCAGCAAAGACAACATTTTCAGGGGGTCTTAGGTTACTCTGTAATGGTTTCTTAAACTGTCTGATTTTTTATTTTGCAATAAGGTTCAGGAAAAATAACTCTTTCACTCACATGTTAACACAATCTGTTATCTGTTTTCCCTCTGTAAGGCTTGGGGAATGTGACTTCATTCAGAGTAACGGAGACGTACATTATTTCATCATAATAATCAATATGTATACTGCTGTTTGCAAACTGATTAATGTCACACTTATATTTTGGTTAAAAAAAGATTGCTGTATATTATATTTGAAATTTAATTTTTTTAAAGTACCAATCCAATGTTTTACCTCAGTACTCAGAAGGTAATGTCGTCATTTAAAGATTGAAAATCAGATACAAAATTTAGCTCTGGTCTAAGATATAGTCAAAATACTGTACATTGATTTGCAGTCTTAGCGGTGATCCTCAATTGAACTGATGAAGGGATTTTTCTTACAGTTTTTAAATAAGTATTTTAAATAGGATATGCTCTGGGACAAAATGCCATTGTTGACGTAATGATGTCAACATGATTTTACTTAGAATAGCATTCTTTTTGTTGATTAAATACAAATTATATCTAAGATATGCATGCTTTTAATAAGAGTACTGATATATAAAGTTAGAGCCGACATGATTCACTTCCATCTGTTGAGAAACACTGGCTTTATGAGTAGACGTTACCTTGAGACACTCATCACGAGTCAGACAAGCAAGCGGGACTGATAATTAACCTTTCGAGGTGGGAGTAGCGACGCTGATCATGGGTTGGTGTTAATGGGTTGACATCATCCATTTTCAGAAGATGTATTATGTAAATACATGAGAACTGCTGTTTTTATGCCACAAGGGGGAGCCTTCATTTCAGAGATACAGTAGGGAACACCAATAACATTATACCTCTATTTTCTACAGTAGCATTTCAAAAGGTTTTTGATATAATAGAAAACTCAAGTTAGATACTGTTATTAGACAACTGAAATCAGCTGTAAGTTTTATTTTGTTTAAGGATTTTAACTTATTCAGATAATAATTGTAAAATATGGTATAAGAATGCAAACATGGAGATCTTTTTCTGTTTTAACTATGGATTATAGTCTGTATTATCAATTCAGGTTAAGAAACTAGTGTTGCTTTCATCCTATTTTACAAGCATTTCTTCCTTTTATACTCTGCTAAAATGCAAAAAAAATGGGTTTGATTCTCTTCATTTTGTCTTTTTTATCGCACTTTGGCAGCAGATTCCTGTGTAGCTTCAGATCTGAGTTGTCTTATTAGTAAGCCTAATTTATACTTTTGTAGCAACACTATTTTTATATAATGGCGAAGAAAGGGTTCAGTGTCTTTTTCTTTTGTTTTTCCTGTGTCATATGTGGCAGCGCTGTTCAATGTTTCTTGAATACATTACCCACTGTAGTATGTGATGTGTGAATAAACTCCAAATCTGTGTCAACACTGTGGTTTATATGCAGTTAGAGGAATGGTGCCTGTCTGTGCATGTGTATGTTGAGAGATGATGGATGTTTGAGGATCTGAGAGGTGTTTTAATGTCAGAAAGTCCAGTTTTATCCAAGTGGAAGTGTGTATTCAAGGGTAAGATTGAAACCAAAATGCTTTAAACTCCCTTTGCCCCCGTTTCACATGAAAGAAGTTTCCTTTTCAGTCAGGGGATGAAGTGAAATGTTTAGAAAGCCTGCTTCTGTATGTATGAATCAAGCGAACTTGAGAGGATATTTGACGGTCTTCCTGTAAAAATGACTCTGGTTGCTTATTTTCAGTATGAATGAGGACTCCCACCCAGAGAGAAATGAAGCAGAGCTTTCCACAGTGGCTGAGAGGGAGAGACGGAGGGCTTCAAACACATGTAGAGGAGGAAAGAGGCCTTACATAAGGGCAGCGCGATTGAAGACACACATGGGGAGTGAATATACAGAGGCTGCTTAGAGGTGCGTGCAAGGGTTCCCCAGGGGCCACCAATAGGGCAAAAGAGCGAGGGAGTGAGACAGGAAGAGGGAAAGAGCAAGCAAGTGTTCGTCACTGCCTGCTGTCTTTCCCCCTGCTTTCGCACCCGGGTCAGTCAGCCCCCAAGGTGCAGCAGTCTGCTGCCATGCAGAAACACC